AAATATGACTTCAGCGTTTATTATTTATATACTCTAAATATTAATTAATAATATATTATAATTTGTATATTTTTTGCAGCGTTGAAACCGTAGTTCGTTAATTTATGTTATTTTTTAATTTCGTAAAAAAGTTTAGTAAATAGGAACTATACCTAGAACGGTATGTGTATTGTGTATGTACACAATAATATTAGACTATAATTTTTCTGTTTCGACATTAACCACAAAAAAAATAAAAACAATTTTAATATTCTAAAATTGTTATATACTTACTATAATGTATTGGTTTGGTGATKTCAATATAGAGTTATTCCTTGTTTGGCTACCTCATACTTTTATTTGCAGTAAGTTCTTGTTAACAGGGAAATATTTACTATGCAYATGGTAGTATAATACGTAATATTATCTTAAATGTAGGCTCGCCTAAGTGTACGCGTGTAACGCATTGATATTGTAGTTGGCCGAGCATGTATGTATATATATTATATATTTGATAATCAGATCAAATACTACTCTTTCTCTATAGTACCTGTGATTTATATTCACATGCGTTGAATTGTATTATATGTRTACTACACACATAACGTTAAAACTGTTAGAAGAAAGTAAAGAATTAACGGATCATATAATACCGATTTAATATTATGATAGAACAAGCGAAACAATTAAGATTTTAGAATAGTTTAGACTGAGATCTTTATGTTTTTTTTTATTTTTGTAGTAAATCCCATACATGTAGGTATTAGCGTTAAGCTTTCACTGAAATCGTTACAAAAAAAAATAAAAAAATACATGCAGAGCGTCATCTTTTTCGCCTATCCCAGGTTTTCTTAATTTAATTTTGATTATGTATAAAATATTGTACGCTCCATTAAATATCAATTAAAACGGTACGCGAATGCTGTCCGCAGAATAAGTTGTAGCTTCAGTGTTATTTAGGAAAAATACACTGAAGGTTTGGATTTTGACCTAGAGAAAATCACGCATCTATAGAACCAACTGTATACGTATTGTGTACCGCGGGTATAGTAGTGATACATTCCCGGTTTATTAACAAACTATGATGTATCGTTCGACTTCGATGGCGCAAGCTAACACCTACGCACTTCCAGAGCAATATCGAGACGCGCGTAGCCAAATCCGGACGTTTATTAGAATAGCTATGCATTTCGCCCACGAGTTTATTATACTTTGTTTTATGTAACTATTTACACTATATAGGTCGCCCCGGCTATATGATTTTTGTCACGACCTGAAACACTACGCCTATAAATATTATTGTTTTCGACAATTTTTATACAATTTTTACTTTCTATTAAACTATCGAGAAGGTACACATAAAATCTGCTGTATTTCTTCTACAGCGTTAAAGTGCTACAGTATGTTATTCTTAGGTCGTAGAATCTAGGCACCTAATTGTATTTGATGATGGGATTTAAAGTTCTAAATATTATTTTTATCGTGTAATAGTGTAATATATTATGCAAATCCAACTATCATGAGGTATAAATAGTTATGATATAACATTTTCTAACCTACTCTTTACTATATCCAACCGGGTGGATTTTTTAGAAGATTGACTACRTAGTTGATATTCAATAAATTATAAGTAGAAAAATGGTTAGGTCTACACAAATTTAGTACAAATTCAGTGAGATACGATATGTTTATTATATTATATTATATTCAGATATAATAGATTACCTATAATATATCTAGTAAACTTACTCATTATTTTATGGAAGTATTAAGAATATATTTACAAAAATTATAACCGAACAAATTAATTAATAGTAATTTAATATACCATATATAACTTATTGTGCTAAAATGAATTAACTATAATATGACGTGACTAAACCATGTATTAAATCATTGCACTGAAATTTGAATTTCCACTCTAGAGTTAATAAATGTCTACCGCCATTAATTAATTATCTGGTGTAAATATCATTTCAGTTTGAATGGACATGTCACGTGACAATTATTCACTTAACGATCGTGTTATATACTGAAGTAGGTATATTTTACCTCATCTTTCATTCTGTATTATACTTAAAAGTTAAAATTTACATATTTCGTGATCAGAAATGAAACTACAACGTTTTATTCATGAATTGAAAAATAAAAGAGGTCAATGAGGGAAGGTTTCAACTTATATGGTGCTAAAAAGCTGCTTACATGGTGAAATTTTAATGTTTACACTCTTCTAAATATACAAGAACATCTAAGTGTTTCTGGAAATATCGTATACATTGTAGTTTTTAATTTAACATTCTTTGGTAATTTAAATATTATCTTGGATAAAATTCGTATTTTATATTTTCGCAACGTATATGTTTTATAATATGTAAAAGGAGTATTATAATTTATTATGAAATAAATTCATTTTATTGTATGGACCTAAATAATGATGTACAATTTTTGAGATATATATTTCTAATACAAAAATATATTTAATCATATCTGAGCCATAAAAACTCTTTTGTATATTATGCCGTTAATAGATTAGATATAATTTTATAATAGTCTGCATACTGCAGTCATCGAATAAACCAAAATATATACATATAATTTATATTATGTTAATTGATAAAATTATGTTTATAAGCATAACTAACCAATAAATAATTATCTATTTTATTTTTAAGCAATTCGAATTATAACTACGAGAGTAGAGTGAAGCGTAGTATATATGATGACGAGGATATCTATTTCCACTCTGATGTGGATCAAATTCTATTTATTCAGATATTTAAAAATAAAAAATAAAACGATACAAGTTAAACAATTTAAAATTTCAAACAATGAATACTATGCAAAACGTAGTGTTATAAGCATTTCTAACAGCCATTGATCGCAAACGGAACATAAACAATACGATATACCTACATAATATTATTATATTCGATACGCGATATAATATGATATTGTTATAGTTGTTTAGTAACGATTACCTTGGAATTTGGTTTAGCAGGTGCATCTATAGAAACCTATTTATTTGTGGCCTATGAGTTGTGGGATATTTTGTGTAGATACACATAACATAATATATAGTATCGTACGATCAAACGATCATTATAATAAATTGTAATGATTCGATTACCGCGTGCGTGATAATTTTTGTTAATAATATAGTGATAAGTGATAACTGATATTATACCGGGTGATTCTTTTATCATTGAACACTCATTATTTCAAAAATTATTAATGTTTTTGAAAATATTATTTTACATGGTTTCTAGTTGTTAAAAAACCAACGTTTTTAAATATTTTTTATCCTTATAATTTTTTAAGTTTTTACTTTTTTGAATGACAACATAGAGTTTTAATTTCATATTCTATAGCATTTTTTAAGTATTTTGATCCATAAAAATTAAATTTAAGACGAGTAGTTTATGAGTTATAAGTATTAAAAGTTTAGACAAGCGGAGTAATGGACAAACATTTTGCGGGGTAAACCCGTACCTGCACTCCACTCTGCCAATCTAAACTTTAAATACTTATAACTCATATACTACTCGTCCTAAATTTGATTTTTATGAATCAAAATACTTTAGTATACTTAAATATTCTGCTTTGGAATATGAAATTAAAACTCTATATGTTTTCATTCAAAAAAGTAAAACACTTAAAAAATGATAAGGATAAAAAATATTTTAAAATAAATTTTTTTAATAAAAACGTTGGTTTTTGAACAACTTGAAACTATGTAAAAAAATGTTTTCAAAAACATTGGTAATTTTTGAAATAATGAGTGTTCAAAAAAAGAATCACCCGGTTATATGAAACTAACGCACGAGTAAAAAGTTTTCGGTGCTTTAAGTATTGTTTTGTAAGAAAAACGTGTACCTTACAGCGTGAGCGCGTGCGCCAAACGATTTCAAATATTGTACGTTACAAGTTTGACATGATGGTGGCGGAGCGGGGAAAAGTCCGTTGGTCGCGTTGTTCACGAATCCGCATAGTAGGAGCGTTCAGCGCGCGCGCGCCCTCACGGCTCTCCGCCGACGTCAACGGACGCGCCGCGCGACCAGTGACCGGTAAATTGTGAGAAAAGTTCCGAGAGCTGTGTGTTATACGGTTTCACGCGCGGCACACGTGTTCGTCCGCGTTCGTTACGCGATCCCGGACCGTTCGGGATTAATGACAAATATGTTCTGATCTAAAATATACATAATAATATTATGAGCAAACACGTACGAACGATTTAATYGATTTTTTTTTTTTGACGATAATTATATTAACAAAAACAAGTGCTGCCTGACCGCTTTTTATTTTGTTCCAATACTCGAGTTGACGTGTTTTAGTTTTCCAAAAAATTTCGATGAAACCGTAAACGACATACTTTAGTTGAAACGACCAAGACGCATACCGCCGCGATCGGACTGTAAATATGGTACGTTATATTATAAAATATTAACTATATGGTATGCATATAATATAGGTGGGTCACTTATTATAGTTAATTAATAATTGCAATACACTTATTATTAGAGATGCAATTCGATAAAAAAGCTGGGGTTGTTGAAACTTTCTATTTTTTCAGTTAGTCTTATGATTATAGATTACGCTATGAGTAACCCCATCTTTCGATTGATTAATCAAAAATTTGATTGTGGCTTCAATAATACAATCGACAATGTAAGAACTAATTAACCACACATGGAATATAATATAAATATATATTTTTACAAGAGTTGCTAAGCCTTAGCTCTCTTCACCTAAATTCCACCTATGACACTTGTATTAGATGATARTATCTTTATCATSAGACCCTCCGCCGGGGTCAAGTCCCGTTGACTCGAGTCATATTTCCTTGGATATTTACGTGCATCGAAACTTCCGATTGACATTGCTTGTTATTGGCAGTCTACGTGGAAAGTTGTTTTTTTTTAACTGACAGAAGTTCGTTAACTATGAAAAAAATATAGTAAAATAATAACATTAATCAATATTAATATCAATATTGATAAGGTGAAGTGATTAAAAAATCAGTTCTTTGCGCGCTCATTATAATATAGGCATTACAGAAATATTATGATATAATTGCAATAAAAAAGATGCATACCTATATACTAAAATATACAATTAGGCTTTTAATATTATGTAACTGTACAGAATAGGTGCATATTATTTACGTTTGTGTACATTTCACTAACAAATGTTCGTTATCTTTAATTAGGAATTTTTATTTTTTGATTATTTTATTAGAACAACGGGGTTTAGATACCTAAAACAAAGTTTTATATTTGGTATAACAATAAATTATCGCAAAATTGTTTTTCGATATACGTATCTTATACGATGATTACAATTTATGATGGTACTTCGAATCAGTTATTTTTATAAATTAAATAATGAAATCAGTATTACAATTTACTTTTGACTTTACTAATACAAATTACATATACGCATTTTCTATAGATTTATTTCTTATTAGTTATTATACATTTAAAATTAAATTWAAAAATTTGTGAGTAATAAAAACATCGATATTTGTAYACTTTAATTCTTAAAACTATTTTTATAGAACCAAATCTGTCATTAGTTTTATTATAATTTAAGTATTGATTGTATACATAGAATTTTGAACAACCCAAGAATTGAATGGATTCCTGCATTTTAATGGAATTCGTACATYMKTATTCTGTATACATTATTTTATTCATGTGTTACACGTGTCTATGCCAATTTTTCATTTTTGCGTAAACGTAAGAAGTAAACCGTATAGTTCTGAAACTAGCACGAGAGTCCGTTGTCAGGGTGTAGTTACTATTCYCCCCAAAATATGTCAAGTTCCATCATTATCAGCGTGTTGGGCTCTCAAGAATATTAAACTCTCCCCCTTTGACCGAAAGTACCTCTCACGTAAGCTAATAATATTGTGTTTGTTACCCTCGTGCTGTGCACATAAACTTCGCTACCCCAATCGAAGTTGACAGATATCGTGATTAGCACCTATACTATTTTGTACCTAGTTAATTGATTTGATGCGGTCGATCAATACCTAGTTTACTTTAACTTCATAAAAACATTTTTTTTTTCATATTTTTTATTTATATCTATGCCTATAGTAGAAAATGAAGATATGTACATTTCATTTATCTAAGCAAAAAGTTATATTATATATTTTGGTCCATTTTTATTTTATTTAAAGTTTTACGTACATACTTTCGCTTTCTTGACAATTTATATCCAAAGAATGAGCAAGAAATTAATTTGTAGGGGGAGGGGGAGATTATAGAGTTAAACAATTGCTATGTAATCGATCTACATCTGAGAGCTAGGTGAATGCTGTCCGGGTGCCATACTACCGTGACATCTCAAATCGTCCACACAAAATTTCACTGATCACGATCATGGAATTATAATTGAATATACATTTCTTGTTATTATTGTTTTTACTTTTGAGGAAATTGCCTCTTCTAAGATAGGTACGTACGTACTGTCGAGTTTTCATTTTTATATAACATGTAATTCAATAATTGTTAAGAATTATATAGCATGTTCACGGCCAGATAGACAAGGATCGGCCCACCGAGTTTTAGGATTTTTACCGGCCCTAAAAGATCCATTTTGAAAYGAACATTTTAAAAATCGACCTAGATTTTACGCGGCCCACCGAGTTTAACTGGGTAACTCGCCTGGCCTATCCAGGTCTGAGTATGTTCTAAGTATGTATTAAGAGCACATTTTATATATATTTGTAATATCCGTGGTTTTAGGTATCATCAGTCTATTTTTTAATATTTTTACATTGAGTAAAATTGTATTTAATATAATTTTGAAAATAAAATTTACAGAAACTATCACCAATACCTATAATATTAMAATTAATTAATTATTTCCAAATTTTCGTATTTCATTTATTGATAAAATCTATTTTTACTATCTTAATTGAACAAAATAAAATCTCAAACGTGTTAATGTTATGTGAATTCGCTATCTGATCTTAAAAATATAACTAATCCGAGTAGGTATACAAACATTTTTATTAATTCAKATTATGTAATAAACMTAATATATATACAACTAATTTTATAATTAGTTGAGGAAAAATGTCGTTTATGATTAATTTGATACGATATATTGTATATTTGAGAATATTAATTATAATATTATAACACAATGTTAATTATTATTTTAATATTTTRTGTAGGTATACTATATGAGTGGATATTCTTCAATTTGTTATAATACAGAATGTACATTCTACCTATGTAAACATAGAAAATAAACATTTCAATCAGTTTTGTGTAAAACATATATGATGACAAATCATTCAGTGACTCATGCATTTGTGTTGTATCATAATAATATATTATATATATGAACTTATTTTGCAACTCTCGCGTTTGAAAATCTTGTCTAAACTTAATCATTTTTTGTATTTTAAAGTAGGAGTCTATATAGGATTGGTCGGGTGTGGGTTGTTAGGTCGTTGAGGCGTTGACTAATTCGGAAAACGACAGAATCAAAACGTAGTGTTGCAGCCATGGGTCTACCACACCTAGATTTATATTATTATAAATATTGCACACGGACCGCCGACAAAAATTATATTGCATTACTTCTATCTGTTGTTCGTCGCAGACAGAAAAATCCATCGAGAAATTATCACCTGCTTGTTGTTAATATTTATTATGTGGATCAATACACAGTAAGGATGAAAAAATATACTTATATTGCATATAAATATATTGGTAATGAAATCAACTAACGAAAAATCARTCGCAAAAAGTGTTAACTGTGCGTTATGTATATTTATATACATATAGCGTGATACACTGGGTGTAGCGTCACGACTCACGACGGTCTGACGATTTTAGATTGAAATTACATTTGGATATGTCAGATATTTGCTTGGTACATCCTGTATAATATGTAAGTTCTGTACGATGACGGTTCCGTGGTTGTGCGGTGTTTTCTGCGTGAGAGGACGTCCGCTGCCGCCATATTCTATTGTCATTTTATCTTGAGCGCGTGCTGAACACAGATGATATAGCATTACAAATTTACAATATATAATATGATGACGACAACGATGATGGTCCTGTATCTGTATTGCGTGTCAACCCAAAGCATTCGTCAACGGCGTATTGCGGTATTCTATTATATTGGTATGCTCGATCAGTCTTATCACGACTCAAATAATAATATTATTATTATTGTTATAGATATGTATAAACTCRGTCGTTTTTCATCGGTTTTCCTCAACGATTGCTGTGCGCAACGATAAAACGGCAGCAGTAAAAGTAAATTTCCCAATCGACATAAAGGGACACGATTGTATTGTATAACGACAGTATGTGCGAGCGCGTCCGCTAGAATTTATTGATAATAAGTACACCTAGACACGTTACTTATGTTTATTGTTATAAGGCAAAGACAAACTCATATTGATTATATTTTAGTGTAGTCCTCTGTCTTTAGTGTTGTAGGAGATCATATGTGAAAACATTATTTAGGCAATGCAATATTTTTGTATTACTAATTCAGGAAAGAATAGTTGTCGATTTTAAAATGTTTTAACAATAATAGCTTAACATTGTTTATACCGTCCTGCAAAGAACCGTTTATAGTTTATATCATGTTAAACATTATTAAACAAGAAAAACACCTTGTTAACTTAAGTGTGATTAAATTTGCAATAGAAGATAAAAAATAAAAACTGTAAATAAAAAAGTCTACCTCTGTAGGCACCACACATATATATGTGGTATACCAGAATTGTTTTTTTATACGATTAAACATCTGATATATTGTATAGTCCACTTCACTTGCAGTTCATATAATGTTCGTTGTATCGATTAATATTGATGTATAATTGAAAGTCAAAACCATTTATTTTACTTTACTCGTAGTTTTATTACCCATTGGTACTTGAATTATCTTTGAACTCCTACACAAGACATGTATATTTATACCGTGGTAATATTGAAGTAATAGTTATAGGTACCTATGTTATATTATGCAGTTGTGTAAATGTAGCATAATGTATGTTAAGGTATGTGTATACGTATGTTTTGAGATACCATAAAATAGGTTTATAAATTGCTCAAAAATTTTATATATTCTTTTTTGGATTGGAAAAATATTACATAATAGAATGTAGAACTTAGGGCGAATGACAATAATGTCATATTTGTAAAATAAAAATATTTTACATTTTATTGTTTTGATAATAGCCACAAAGAAATAAACACGCTCATTATTTTATGAAAGTAAATAACATGCATATTTTATGTGTCACGTTTCTTAGTACAACAATGGCAGAGTATAACATTTAAGGGTAAAATAATTTATGAAATATGTTCTTCATTATTGGTTTAAGTACTAAAAACTTCCTTTATAATGAGCTATAACTCGAGTAATTCCTGTGTGAAATAATTTAAT